TTCAAAATTAATCAAATAAACTTTCAATTTCATTCGATGAAGACTCAATTCATCAAATTAACATTCAAATTATCAAATTAACATTTAAATTCAACTAGTTAACATTAAATTAATAAAATAATTTTTCAATTTCATTCAATAAACACTCAATTCGTGAAATTAACGTTCAAATTATCAAATTAACATTTAAATTCAATTAGATAACATGATGGCAAGAATTGATAAATTTTAGTTATTAAAGCAAATAAAATAGCGGGAATTGATCAAAAGGCTGCCTTTGCCCTAAATCATCTTAGCTTTTGCCTCTTCGTCTGCGCCTCTCCTCCTTGTTAATGACAGTCATCTCCAACATGAGTTCCCATCTCTACCTCTTCGTCTTCGACTCTGCCTGTTGGAGTCGTCTGCGCCTTTGTCTCTTCGTCTTAGCGACTATGGATCTTAACATCACAACCATCTCCAATGTGAGTCTCTTTGTTTCTCACTCACACACGCATACACACACATAAAATCTCTTACTCTCTCTCATTCTCGCAATCTCGTGTGCAATCGAAGTGGAAGAAAAGCTAAAGTGACTCGACTGATCAGAACTCCATCGAGCATCGACGACTACTAGGCTACCCACAAGTACATACTATCTCTCTCTCTACTATATCTAATTTTTGGTTGGACTGAAAACAATTGAAGGAAGATGTGTTGTTGGTGACTACAACCGGTTTGGCTTATTTTAGTTCTTTCTATATATAACATGCATTTTGCTGCCATTTTTTGAGATTTTTTTTTTCAATTGTCCCTCCATAATTATAGCTTCTTAGTGTTTTATTTGTCCCCACCAAATGCAAAAACTATGTAATTGTCAAGTGCCACCTAGCTTGGTTCCATATCATACCCTGTGTAACCAAGCATGACTAGTGATTCAAACTACATCAACTCTTAACCATGAAATGAATTTATTTAATTAGATATACTTCAATACAGGGATCCTTCAGAAAGATAAGAGTGTATGTAAGAAAACAACTAAGCTACTAAATCTTTTTGTGCATCTGTAAAATGGTTTGTGGGGTTATGGGGATAGGAATTCTTGCACACCTAAGTTGAATGCTTAAGGAGAGCTTGTATCTCACATTAGATGCTTAGAGCTACCCAAGGTAGGTCAACATGATTAAGGGATCTCTACACTTATTTTCAATTAGTTTTGGGTTAGATGCTCTGACTTGGTATTAGAGCTGAACCTTGGGTGGCATATGCTAGAATTGAGCCTTGGGTGGTCCTTGGGCCAAGTTTATTAGCCATTTGAATTTACTAGTGTGCATGTTTGTTTGTTAGCCTCACGTGCAAGCTTGGGTCTCGTGTAAGGGAGGGTGTAAAGAGAGCTTGTATTTCACATTGGAAGATTATGACCACTCAAAGTTGATTAATATGCTTAAGCACTTCTCTAGTCATTACCAATTAGTTTTGCATAGATTGATTTATAGTTCACTTAGAACTATTGAGTTTGGTTTACAAAAGTACAGGATGGTTAGAGATTGACTGAATCATGCTTCTCCCTGAACATGGGTTGGGTTTGGGTCAGCAGAAACTCTCACTTAAAATGATAAGGTTGGGGTTAAGATTGGGTATTTACCTGTTCCTAAACCCAGGGCTTTGATTCAACATGTTTACCTTGGTTGAATCTTTGTATTCTGAATTGAATACCAAGTTATAAGATGCCCTTATGCTCTTTTTTTTTTTATAAATTGATATCACATCAAATTTAAAGAAAATCACGAAGGAAACCAAAAGAAATCGGTGGAAGAAACCATAATGAAAGACTATGAACAATTGTGTCCATCCTAAAAAATTCTAGATTTCTTGTTTTCGTAACATCTCGTAGAAAACCTTCAGTTGCACAGTTTATGCCGCAAAAGGCTTAAAAGAATATTTGAAGCCTTATTGCTACTATACTTGTCTTGCTTCTCTTAGCAAAATTGAATAGTGTGCCACACAAATGTACATTGCCTGGTTTTCTTTGTGAGGTTTCCTTCTAGATGAGAAGTGGGTATAATTTGGTCCCCAGGGGAGGGTGAAAAGTTTGGTTGGACTTGAAGATTTTTCTCTCGAGTATGCTAAGAGTGACAAAGCTATTCAATGGCCTAAGGTGGCCATGGCCCCCCTGTGTTTTTTGAAGCCCCCACTATATACTCAGTACAAAGAGAGTTTTGTCATCTTAAGAGTATTGGTCTCTAGTATATACTTAATAAGTATATATATTCTGTGGTCCACCCACCAAGACTCGATAAAATATTATCTTACTCTTTCTATGACAATATTCTATCTATAGTAAAATTTGTCAACCACTTCAACTCTTTCTTTAAAATATGCAATGGAAAGTTAACAAAATAATTTTATCATTCTAGCTCACTCCCAATTCCCATTCTTCGTTCAGTGAATAAGGTTATAGAGATAGACCCTCTACAAAAAAACCCTCATATGTAGATCATAATGAACTCTATGATAGAATAGAATGTCGAACACAACTTTGACAAAAAAAATCATTTGACATGCATTAAAAAAACTATTTATTTTGTTTGTTTTCTTCTTTTCTTAGTATTTTTGTTCATATAAAATTATCTTGTTTTGGCTGCTATTTTTTTATGCATTGGAATTTTGAAATTTGAAATATAAATCTGCTATACGTTGTTGGTATGAGTTTTTGTGTATAAAGTTTGGCCCCTTCGATGATAGAATCCTAGCTCCGTCCCTATATGCCAATCAGTTATGTTGGTCATGCCATTTAGTTCTGTTGGTCAGTGGCCTACAGTTCTATTGGTCTTTGGCATACTTTTAGTTATTTTCTACGGCTATGATGCCAAAAAAATCTATGAAATATAGGTGCATACAAGGTGTTCGTTGGAATGCCTAGAAGAAATATATTTTGCCTTTGAAGATCCTTGACATGGGCAGCGACTGATTTGATTATCTAGCATTTATCATCTTCCAGTTTCAAGGTATTACGCTTTAAGTTAAGTGTGTACACGTAAGATACACAAAACTATTTTTGTTATTTTGAGTGAAAATATATGATTATTTTTATTAGTGAATTTAATTTATACTTTTTTATTATTGGTCTCTAGTTTTTTTGATGTTTCGTTTTATTTCTAGGAATTGGCGAGTTATGAATTTCGGTAATTTATTGAAACCTTAATATAAATTAAGGTTTCAATTCTATGCATGCATGCATGCATGAAACCTTAGTACCCGTTCAAGAATCCACATCGGACAAAGAGTATTCTTTACCGATGGAGATTTCTTGAATTGACCAATTTCGGACAGTTTGAGAATGCATAAGTCTATATTATAGTTAGTATCTCACCGCTTAACTTGTTACATCTCTTTGATATTCTGTGTGGCAGATCCCATTGTTCTCTGTGTACATACTAGACGGGTGTAGCAACGACACTTAGTCTATGTCGTGTACTTGGAGAACTATGGGAAGATGCTCTCTGTGTACATACTAGACGGGTGTAGCAACGACACTTAGTCTATGTCGTGTACTTGGAGAACTATGGGAAGATGCTGCCGGATTTTAGTTAGAGATGTACGAAGTGGTAAGAGATGCTTCCTATGATATAGAATGTGCATTCTTGAATGGGATAGGACCACCTACCAAAATAGGAAGGAGTCGACAGCATAGTTTGCATGATGTTTGGTACATGACATTGATAAATATGTGATTTTGTAGGCTATCAATTATGGACAAGAGTTGGATGACAATTAGGCATGGGTTGGATTCGAAATACATTGGTGGGGTCAAATATTTTGTCAATTTTGCAATGGAACGTTCGAGTCGAGATGGAAAAATTCAATGTCCATGTAGGAATTGCATGAATGAAGAATGACATGATGATGAAACTGTGAAAAATCATTTGTACGTGAAAGGAAATCATGACCTCTTACACGATGTGGGTACACCATGGGGAACCCGTTCCTATGCATGTCACCCAATTCTTTGATTCTGATGATGATGATGATGATGCTGATGGTGTCGAGGATGATATGATCGACAGTGAAGATGATGATCGAGACGAAATACCTGAAATGTTAGAAGTTTGACAATGAAGAAGTTTAAAGAATCCCAGCAATGGATGATGCAACAACTTTTGCAGATGCAACTTCAAATGCAACGTGCTTTGGGTGGCACCTCAACTAATGCAGACATGCCACCTGAGTCGTAGTTTCTGTGTAGTTTCTATGATCACTATTTCTCGTGATAGCATATAATACTGATTTTTCTTGTACCCTAACTTTGAATTCACTCCCTTCTTTGATTATGTTTGTCCTTGCAGCAAAATATGATGTTACCATCTCAACAACATGCCCTGGACTTGATTATATTGTTGTGGAAACACCTGCTACATCACAAGCTTGCGTGGATTTACTTCGCAGTAAAAACCTTGGTGTTGCAACTTTCATGATTTTGGTGGATATTTCATAAAAAGTGATGCTTAACATGGTTGTTGTATATTTTATGTTCATATTTGTTACTACTGGTTAAAATGAAGTTTCCAACACCTAACTCAAAGAATTTGGCTTTGGGTGACAAATCAATTCAAGTGGGTAAAGTCAATAAAATTTACTCAGCCCTTGCCAACATATTAAGCTTGATGTTTCCAGAGCCTAGCCCTTGTGTCATTTTTCCTTCCACTTGAAATTATAATTGTCACTGTGTTGCACATAGTGGGTTTGATTTGTACAAGGACTTGCGCAGGTAACTATAGATATAGAATGAAAAAGAACACCTGATGGTGCCCTCTTTGAAAAAATCTGGTGCTATAAGTGATGGGGGAAGTAAACCACGTGGTGGTAAGATGGGAACATCTATCTGAGCTTCCACCATTTCTGAAGAGGTCGTTGCTAGTGCTGAAAATGAGCTTTCTGTGATGATTGAAAAATTAAGTAATACACGCTAAAGAATTGCTGATGCTGTGCGACATTACCAGGGTACCGAAAAAGCAATTTCCCACATGGAGATGGAATTAGCAAACAGTCAAAAGGAGGTGACATTCTAGACTATATCGTTAACCACATCAATTAGTACTATCTTAGGAAAGGAGAGTCTGATGCATTAAATTTCTTTATTTATGGCAGATTGACAGTTTGACCTCACAATTTGGTGATCTTGACCAGTTTGACCAATTTACATATCGTTGGTGGCTCCTAAAAACTATGTCTGTTTATAGCATGCACGCATTATATCTTCTTGTTTTGGCAAAAATTCCCTAATGTGCCTATGATCTCTGTATTTTTAAGCTTTAGAGCTTCAGAGTATGATAGAAAATGTAGGCGGGGAAAGGTTAAAAGCCCAAAAGTTGAAGGTTAACAAGATTCAGTCGATGAGTGTATTCTGAATATGAAATACACTAGGTACTACAAATAACAGTTCCACTTATGTATGGTGCCCACTTGTCAGGACATTGATAAAAGCAGCACAAAAGTCAACCGTTCCAAAGTTCAAATACAAATAGGTCATAATACAATCAAATAGAAACAGGTTATGGAGAAGGATAATTTACTCTCTACCTTCAAAGAGATCGAACAAAAGGCATTTACGGTTCAGGAGAACTATAAGAAAACGTAGGAGGTTATATTTGTTCATTTATGTTCTTGACACCTATGATGTTGAACCAGTTACGAGAGTTGCTTATGTGATCGATGCATTTTTTTTCTCTTCTGATTTGTGTAGTTAATCGATCAACACAAAGATGTGCTGGATAGAGCAAAGCATGACTATGAACAACTAAAGAAAACTGTTGATGAACTGCGGGCATCTGATCAGGTTGATGCTGACTACAATTTTCGATTTCGGTCTAATTACATTTTATGTAAAATATTGTTGTTCAACTTCATCAGAATGTCGAGTTGGTAAAAGAGCTGAAACTACAAATAAAAGAGCTGGAAGGAGCCGTGAGTGAATCCACCAAGGATTCTGATGTGTCTAAGAGGTAAATCAATTCTTTGGTTTTCTCACTGTCCAACATCTCAGTTACCATTAGCATGGTAATCAAGAAACACATGTTTCACAGAATTTGAAATACTATTTGATCTTTTCCCCCTTGTGTAATGGATTGTTAAAATAAATTATAATGAATTTTAATCTTTGATTTACATTTCATTATTGAACTTGGGGCTTTTTTAATATGTCTCTTTGTGTTCAATTTTTGTTCTCATGTGATTTTTTTTAACTTGAATGTTAGAAGAGCTTAGGTAGGAAGCTCTTTCTCAGGTATATGAATTTTTTTTTCACGATTATCATGACAAGATGATGTTCCGCTGAACTGAATTTTGCAAGTTAGTGTTTAATTGGATTGGATTTAATGACACATATTCGTTCTGCATGTCCATTTCTGCTCATCTTTATTTATTGATACAGTTATTTAATAATTTACTAGTATATGGTTCTGCACTGTTAACTACTTGCACAGTGCACTGTTAACTATTATGTTATTTGTGTTGTGTATATGGTCCAGAGTGCCTCAGATGGTAGCAGTTGTTATAGGTGTAGATGTTGCTGATGGTAAAGGATAAGCTACTACTTGTACCAGAAGCATTATAGGTGTAGATTTTACACTCACAAACAACTATGGGGACATTGGAATATAGAGACATACCAGATTGGAACATAGAGACAAATTTTATCAGCCTATGTTGTTGGGCTTACTAATTAAATTATAATATCATTTTATCTTTATTCTTAGAAACGGTTTAAATCAGAGCATGATAGTCAGTTTCTGTTAAAAATCCTTTTTGCAAACTAGGGTCATCCTTAAACTTGATAGTTTGGCTGGACAATGATGAAATTTTTCAATATCCAATTTTATTTCATCTGCATATCTAAATTCCTTTCTTAAGATGCTATAAGTGTTTCTTTCGGTGATGTTCAGGGGATGTTGTTGTCAATGTTTACATAAACCATGAGAAGAAGTTTGCCTTTGTGGAGATGAGATCTGTTGAGGAGGCCAGTAATGTCATGGCCTTAGATGGAATTCTTTTTGAGGTATTTGGTTGTCTTCCTGAATCAATTAGGGTAGGAAGTTTGTGTGTCAATTATTTTTTGGTATTCCTTCTCCTCCTTCTATGTCTTAGATTTGAGGAAAGATGGGTGAGCCTTTCTTTCTCTTATCCAATGAGGATAGTGGTATAGCCAGATCAAGAAGATATTGCTTTTTATAGTTAACATCACAATGTCAGAAGACTTATGAGCTCCCATTTTTCTTTTTTCTCTTAGTAATCATTATTGAGCCCGCATTATTGTAATGAATTCATGTACAAGTTACATATTACTAGAGTACGTTTATTATGTACGTTGACAATTGCCTCTCAAAGTGAATGATGGTAACTGTTTCCATGAAGAATACCATGTAACCCTATGTAGTTGGATTTGTATAACTCAATATCTAGTGTTGTACCATGGTGCTAATAGATGCAACTTATGATTCTCTTTAAAAAGGAAGATTCTATCTTGGTTGTACTTTTGTTTTCTTTGAGATTAACATTTATTGTCATTTTCCCCTGTTATCACATATTATCAGTTAGATCAAGTAATTCTATACCCGTTGCTTAATCCATGACTGCGGTGTACCATACAAAATTTTTCCATCTATGGAACTCCTGAACTTATACTTTTTCCCGAGTTTGCTGATGTTGTTCTTTCTTAATGCTGCTTTTGCAGCTTTGCTATTTGGAACAGGGTGTTGACTTCCTAGTTGCCTCTCCAGGACGCTTGGTGGATATGATAGAGAGAGCCAAAGTTTCTCTCCAAAAAGTCAAGTATTTGGCTTTGGATGAGGCCGATCGAATGTTGGATATGGGGTTTGCGCGCCAGATAATAAAAATTGTTGAGCAGATGGAGATGCCTCCACCAGGTGCAAGGCAGACAATGCTTTTCAGTGCAACATTTCCAACTGATATACCAGGTTGTTAACTAAATCCCTAAATATTTCTTTTATTTGGTCAAAAATCAGATTTATGTTGCTCAGTTGTCTGGTGACAATGAAGTTAACTTTACCTGCATAAAATTACGTATTTCCAGTGAGTGTTGTTTTTTCTTGTGTGGGTAATTTTTTTTACCCAACTAGGAGAAGAAATTTGAGAGCAAGCAATAGAAGATCTATTATCTTTCTTTCATTGAGCAAAATTTTAGCAAATTGCTTTTTATATCACTTGATGCAATTGTGTGGTTGGGTGTTAGTTTTATAAATAAAGTAATATTGTTTGATGATAGGTTTCATACCTCTCTTCCGTACCTTTTCTTAGAAAATTTCTTAGTTGTTCTGACATCAGCATTAATTTATTCTTGCAGAAGCTTGCACCAAATTTTCTTTCAAACTACATATTTCTAACTGTTGGAAGGGTTGGATCCAGCATTGATCTGATTGTTCAAAGAGTTGAATTTGTCTTGGACATGGACAAAAGAAATTATTTGAAGAGGCTCCTTAATGCCCAGAGGGCATATGGAACCCATGGAAAGGTACAATAAGCACAATAGCAGTTTCACCATAGTTTTGCATATTTGTTAAATGTCTTTCTTCTTGCTACATTTTCCTTTGAATATCTTAATAATTTCGTTGATTGATCAGAACTGTATTGTCTTGATGGAGCAGGCTCTGACTCTTGTTTTTGTGGAAACAAAAAAGGAGCAGATGCATTAGAGCAGTGGTTATACAAGAATGGTTTTTCATCTACTGCCATACATGGTGACAAAATACAGATGGTTAGCCATTTTTTCTTTCTTTTTCACTCTATATTGGCAATTTTGGACTGGGGCATGAAAACCATGCACGGATGTCATTTCTCTTCTCAGGGCGTTTATGTTCCTACAATATTCAATATTAAAGTTAAAATTATAAAACCGTTATGTTATTTGAATAATCTCTTTTTTGACATACGTTAATCAAAATTTATTTTCATAAACATAGTAAATACTAAATAGTTTGAACATCACAACGGCCATAGTCTCGGAGCATCCCTCGGCTTCATTCACCTCTTCCCAATAGCGGGTGGCGTACTGCTAGAGGCCCTCACCCACCTTTCGCTTTAGTGTGAGCAACACACCGACATCCTTTAGCTTTTTGCCACTAGTGATGAACCAAGTCATGAATTGTTCAATCATTTGCCTCATGACCAAATGCTATTCGGAGTGAGGCTCTCATACCACTTCATAACAGTATCTCCCAGGCTCATGAAGAATTCTTGGTATAGCAATTTGTGGTCAGTGGTGTAGATTGACAATAGTTGTTTATACTGTCGAAGATGACTCTCCAGATCCCTTGAAGAGGGGTACAATAAACTTCTTTGGCATTCAGACTTCTCTTATCAGGAACTTTTGGGGTCTAATTAATATTCAAATTTCAGGACTAAATTTTTAAGGGAAGATAATTTCTTTTTCTATTGTGTAATTGTTAAGTTCAGAGCTTTTAAATGCTCCATACGCACTTATGGAGTCTTTTTGTACTATTCTTTGGTGCCCTTCCTTTTAACAGTCCGCTCTAAGTTGTGTCCAAAGCATCTCTCTCTATGATGATATAATCAACTTCAAGTGTAAGCTAAGCTTTGTTAGCTTTATAGTTGTCTCTTTTATCTTTATAATTCTTTGGATATATTTTTCTAGCCTTAAAGCATCTTGTTTATGCTTCTTTGTTTGAGTGTGTACTCTGTTTGCTTTTTCTGGATGTTGTCTTTTGTGACGCCTTTTGATTGGGTGAATCTAAACCTGTATTATCATGTGTAATTTATAAAGCTAGAGTCATGGTTGTTGCTAGCATGTAGACAAGACACACACACTCATAACCAATACCTTATGTTTTTCAACTTTTGCTTGTGTTAGCAGTTTGGTTGGTGAATGGAAATTGAAAGTTCTGCATCAAAATGGAGATTGAGGCGTTTGTCATTTTTTTTTTGTGGCAGAGTTAGTTGTTAATAACCTTCCTGTGCACCTTAACATCTGCAATTACATGTTTTTTAGTTTATAATCTGAAATTATACGTTGAGATTGCTTCAATAGCCCCCTAAATAAGTGCGTGCATAACTAGCGATGAGTATGGGGATTAGTATTATTCCTCTCTCTTTCTCTCTCTCTGTGTCTCACTCCCCCCCCCCAAAAAAACACACACACACACACACACCCCCCGAATGTAGAAAAGAATCTTTGATCTTTATACTATGGTATGTGGGATTGAGTACTTTTGGTAAGTGTCAGTGTGTTTCTAGGTTTCAGTACATTTGTTACTAATTATAGAGAGCTTCTTTAAATCATCCAGTGAGATGAGATATGGTGATTTTTTGTTAAATTTTTTTGTGCTGAGTTTCCATTTGTTTATTTTATCGTTTTGCAGCCTATCCCAAATCAGAAAATCCACTAGAGATCTATGGAAGGTCTCCCTAACAGGTAAAAAATTGTTTGATAGATACACATAACATGAATAAATAAGGACAAACTGGTTGTGTTAACTGCTTAACTTTGTTAGGATCAGCTGTTGTATCAGATAGGCTTTTTTTTGGTGCAACTCCCTCGGCCTTTTAATTGGTTGTAGCAGCTGGAACAATCACTGTTCACGTGACTGTTCAGCTGTTGCAACAGTCCGGTTCAGCTCACCATTGGAACCTCCTACCTGCTACTTTCATCTTTTTCGGTGTAGTTAGGCAAGCAAGTATTTTTCGGTGCAAACCCATGAAACATTAGGTTTTAAAATAGAGACATAACTTATTATTTTAGGGCCTTGAATGATATCTATTACTGTCGAACAAAGGTCATGTATATTTTAATTCCATTTACTAAATGTAATTGATTCATCAAAACAAATAAGCAACTTATTTAGCACAAGCACATAACTTGTCAGAAAAAAGAAAGCTAGTACAAGCATCCATGGTGATGATGGCAGAGCACCGTAATGCTGAATTTGAATAACCGTAATCTATTGAGGAGCCGTAGTCACACAATATTTACACTGGTATGTGAGTAAACTTTATGTTCTGATTTTTATCATTCATGATTAATACTAGTACTTGAGCATGAGCTATTTGAGTAGGTTTATTTGGCTTTGCCTATTTGAAGGATTAAAGCCAGCTTTGCTGGGTGGATAATACTTCTAAGATGGTGTATTTGAATGCATTGGTGTATTCTGCCCGCACTGGTTCGCAGGCTGTATTCTGGTTGAGTAGAAAGAAGTGGATGGATGTAGGATCAGATTTGCTGAGCTAATTTGTGAGCTGAGCTGTGCTGCTGCAATTCCTGGATTCCAGGTTAGGGGCTGCTTCGGTTACTGAATAGCTGGTTTTTGCTATGTTGCTAAGCTGTTGAGTTGAGAGCTGCAATGGACAGCCATAATAGTAGCTACGCTACAAGTGGATCTATTCCTCTTGCTTTAGGTCCTTTACAGGCTGTCTGATGATGCAGTGATCAGAGTTGCTGAGCTAATGGCAGGGGTCAAATTGTGCAGAACTAAGCTGCAAATTGTGTTTGTTAGCTGCTTCTGTAGATGAGCTGTGTTGTGGACAAAAACCATTTTTTCTATTTTTAGAATTTCTTGTAATTTGATTATTGTAATTCATTTTTTTTTTGAAATAAAATTTTGTTTTTTTAAAAAAAGATGTGCAATGTATTAATTGTGTTGGTTTTTTATTGAACACATGTATTATTGGTGTACTGGTGAAAAATTTTATTGAGATATCATTTTTGATGTAAAATAAAAATAAATAAATTTTTTTGCGACGATAATTTTACGTCGCGAAAAGCTAATTAAATTATTATTTTTAACATTTTTTATTTATGAACAAATTATTCGCGACGATTTCGTCGTTAAAAGTTAATTAAATTATTATTTTTTATATTTTTGATTTATGAAAAAAATTATTCGCGAAGATTTGTTTACGTCGTGAAAAATGAATTAAATTATTATTGTTAACATTTTTTATTTATGTAAAAAATTATTCACGATGATACTGTTTACGTCGTCGTGAAAAGTTAATTAAATTATTATTTTTTACAATTTTTATTTATGTTACAAATTATTTGTGACAATTTTTTTACGTCGCAAAACATATATTAAATTATTATTTTTTTACTTTCTTATGCTTGGGGAATGGATTTTAGCTACGTTTTTGTTATTTTTTGCGACGTATTTTTTTCGTCGCGAATAAATTTTTTTGTGACAAAAAAAAAATTTTGTAAAATATTTTTTGCGACGAAAAAAAACGTCGCAAAAAATAATTGGCGACGATTTTTTTAATTTAGTGACAAAAAAATTGTCGCAAAAAACGATTTTTGTTGTAGTGTTCCTACAAAGACACATGATTGATTATAAATAAATATATTCACCTATAATTGATGAAATTACATTTTGATATTTTATTAGTCTAGCAATCTCAGAAGGACTAGATATACGTTTTATGGACATTGTTACTGCGCATTTGTATGAAAAATTAAATATTTATATTTATATGAAAGTTGTTGAAGGATTGCAATTGTCTAAAGCAAACACATTAAAACTACAAAACATGTACTCAATTAAGCCGAGACAATCTTTGTATGTATTGAAACAATCTAGAAAAATGTTGTATAATTGTCTTAGTGAGTATTTGGTAAAAGAAATGTATGTTAACAATCTTATATGCCCATGCGTATTTATTAAAAATTCAGAATTTGAATTTGTCATCATTGTAATATATGTTGATGATATGAATCTAATTGAAACTTCTAAAGAGTCGACAAAAAATGCTGAATATTTGAGAAAGAAATTTGAGATTAAAGATATCTCTCGACCTGCAGATCGAGCATACATCAAACAGAATTTTTATCCATCAAACAACCTATACCAAAAAATCATAAAATGGTTTAATATGGATAAAATATATCCGTTGAGTACTCAAATGATCGTCCAAACCCTCGATATCAACAAGGATATCCACTTCGTCCTAAAGAACATAATGAAATGATTTTTTGTCTTGAAGTACTATACCTAAGTGTAATATGTGCTCTATTATATTTAGCGTAATGTATTAAGCATGATATAACTTTTGTGGTCAACTTGCTGGCAAGATTTAGTTCTGTACCAACTCAACAACATTTAAATGACATAAAACATTTCTTACGCTACATTCATGGAACTATAGATTTTGGTTCGTTATACTTAAAGCAATTAGTCAATGATCCACATTTAGTCGGATATGCAGATTTTGGATACCTATCGGACCCTCACAAGGCTCATTCACAAACTAAGTATATATTTACATGTGAGGACACAATGATCTACCAAACAGACTTTGATTGCTACATCCATCACTCATTCTGAGATACTTGTACTCTATGGAGTGAGTCATGAATATGTGTGGCAAAGGTTTATTGTCCATCATATCCGAGATACTTTTAAACTACCTCTGATTATATACTCACCAACAATGTTAAATGAAAATAACTTTGCTTGCATTGCACAAATCAAATGAAGCTTTATCAAATGCGATAGAGCCAAACATATTTCGCCAAAAAATATTTTATACTCATGAAGTCCAATAGTGTCGTGAAATTGAAGTAAAGCACGTATGGTTTAGTGATAATCTTGTACATCTATTTATTAAAGTTTTACCATCATCAACGTTTAAGAAATTGATATATGACATCAGAATGAGTTGGATTTGTGACCAACCTAGTTGATTTCTTATTAGAGAAGAATTCTATCAAGAACAGTATCCACATCAAGATATATAACAATATGCACGACATACTCTTTTTCTTTTGTTTAGGCTTTGTTCAATTTGGTTTTTTGAACTAAGTTTTAATGAGACAGTATTAGTGTGTCTAATGCTATTCTAAAATTCATTTGAATATGTATTTTTTTTCCTTCTTTGAGTTTTTTTCCTCACAGGGTTTTCTTAACAAAATATTAAATGAGATATATTATCTTAATATAGTGGTGATCCAAGAAAGAGTGTTTTAAATATAACAATTATATTGTATATATTGTAATAAAGTGAATGATCCCTAATCTACCAATTACTACACCAAGTAAATATGGATTATTAGGTATTAATACATTAGTCTATAATCTCTATCCATTAATATATCAATTTTAATATTATATTCGATCATCATTATATTTGAGAGCCTATAAAAAGAGGGTGTTAGTATATTACAAAATATATAAGCTGAGAAGAACACACACACATATATATTATTTTGTATTTTTGTAGTTCTATATATATTAGCTATTTTTTATCCTTGAAGGCACAGAGTAATAAAAAATTGTCAACAATAAACATATTTATATTCACACTTAAAATCAAATCACAAACATAAATGAGAGATAAAAAAAATTTAAGTACTGATTTGTAATGGGGGTGGAGCGGTATTAGTGGTGGTGGGAGGTAGTGATGATGGTGGGAGATGATGATGGTTATGGTAGGTGGCGACAACCATGGTAATGGTGGTAGCCGTGAGTGACAATGATGATGGTGGTGGTGAATTTTTTGGTGGTGATGATAGTAGTGACAACCGTGGATGACGACAGTGGTGGTGGTGGGTGTGGGAGGTGATGGATGACGATGATGGTGGTTAGTAGTGGCAGTGGTGGGACGACGACAGTGATGGTGGGCAGTGACGATAGTGATGGTGGGCGACCATGGGTGTTTTTAGGCGACAATGTAATAGGTGGTGGCAAATGACAGCAATGGTAAGTGTGGTAGGAATAGGTGATAATGGGTGGCTGCAGTGGTGGGCGATGACGGGTGGTGTTAGGTGTGGTGAGGGTGGGTGACAGTGGCTGGTGGCGATGATGGGGGACGACAGCTAGTGGCGGCTTGTGGTAATGGGTGACGATGGACAACAATGGTAGTGGTGGGTGCTGACGGTAGGCGACAGTGATAGTAGGATGATGGTGATAAAGAAAATAAATATAAGAATAAGATAATGACGATGGTAAATGGTGGCTGTGGGCGACAATGGTAGTAATTAGTGGTGGGTGGTGATGGTGGTGGCAATTGGGCAATGAGGGTAGGGTGGGGGTGCAAGTGGGGGCAGTGGTGGTGGTGAAGGTGTAAGTAGGGCAATGGCGGTGGTGGTATTTGTAATGGTCGTGAGGGTGGTGGTGGTGAGGCAATGGTGGTAGTGGTAGTGGTAGTGGTAGTGGTAATGGTGATGGTGGTGGTGGGCCGATGAAGTAGGTGGTGGTGGTGGTGATGGTGGGGCGGTGTTGGTAATAGCAACGATAATGGTGGTGGTGGTGGAGCGATGGGTGTGGTAGGGTGGTGATAATGGCGAGGACGGCGATGGTGGCGATGGGTGTGGTAGGTGGCAGTGGTGGTGGTGGAGTGATGAGGGTGATGGTGGTAGAGGTAGTGGTAGAGCGATTTTAAACATTATTTGTTTTTAAAATAGTTACGATAAATAATTCTTAAAAATATTTTTAAAAAGTTATTCAAAACATACCTTTAGGAACCTATTTTTCTTATTAATTTTAGAGTGTTAATATTAGTCATTTAATTAATTTTAAAATAAAATTTAAAGTGATTTGAATTGCGAAAAATAAAAATTATTTTATTTATTTTTTAAATTTAAATTGTACTATTCTTTATTATATAGATATTTTAATTTTATGATCTATCTAATCTCAAATAATTTTAAGGGTTAATCTTATTTTACACCCCGAAAGATCGTTCGAATCTCAATTTGCACCCTCAAAGAGTAAAAATCTCAATTTATACCCTCAAAGATAGAGATTTGCATCAATGTGCACCCCAAAGATCAAAAATCTCAATTTACACCCTCAAAGATAGAAATTTGTATCAATGTGCACCCCCAAAAATCAAAAATCTCAATTTGCACCCTCAAAGATAGAATTTTATATCAATGTGCACCCCAAAGATAAAAAATCTCAATTTGCACTCTCAAATATAGAAATTTGTATCATTATACACTTAAAACTAAATTGATAAATTATACCTAGATCTCCTTATGTTTGTCACTTAATCATTTAGACCTCTTTACATTTAGAATATTACTCCTACATCTCATAACATTTATGCACGTATAACATGTAACTTATTTTCGTTGATATCTGTTAATATAACCGTTAAAAAATATAATTTTATTCTAATAAAAAAATATAATTTCATATTACCCTTATTTTATGGGTCCAATATACTCTAAAATTCAAAATCAAGCTTACCATTTGAATGTCTAATAAAATGTATATATTTATATAATATTTTTCATATTTTCCTTTATATAAATATCTACATTCTATTAGACATTCAAATGGTAAGCTTGATTTTAAACTTTAGAGTATATCGAATCTACAAAATAAAGAGTAATATGAAATTATAATTTTTTATTAAGATAAAATCATATTTTTTAATGATTATATTAATAGATATCAACGAAAAGTGGTTATGTTTACACATGTATAAACGTCATGAGATGTTGGGGTAATATTATAAATGTGAAAGGGTTCAAATGATTAAGTGACAAACACGATGGGATTTAAGTATAATTTATCAATTTAATTTTAGGTGCACATTGATACAGATTTATATCTTTGAGGGTATAAATTGAGATTTTTGATCTTTGGGGGTGTACATTGATACAAATTTCTATCTTTGAGGGTATAAATTAAAATTTTTGATCTTTAAAGGTATAAATTAAAATTCGAACGATCTTTTAAAGTACAAAATGAGATTAATCCTAATTTTAAAATAATTTGGGAGATAGCGTCGAAGTCTATTTTACTCTTCGCCCAACCCAAAGTCCTTACCGTGAAAGAGGAACAGACCCAGTCACTCAGCTTTCCAGCTCTCTGTTCCCAGTCAAAGTCTCTCTCTGTCTCTTCCCCCAAAGTCCTTACCGTGAAAGAGGAACAGACCCAGTCACTCAGCTTTCCAGCTCTCTGTTCCCAGTCAAAGTCTCTCTCTGTCTCTTCCCCCCTCGTATCCTCAAACCCATCTCAATTAATAACTCCAAAACACCATCACGCTGCTACAAGACATACAGAGAGAAAAGAGAGACGCGCAGTAGAGAGATTAATAAAGAAATGAAACTCCCGTGTATGGTTTTATCACTCCTTTTTTTTCCTTCACCAGTACCATTTTAGCAGCAGACATCCCCCTAGGGTCAACCATCTCTGCCTCAAACCCAAACCAATCTTGGTCTTCTCCAAACGGCACCTTCTCTCTCGGCTTTACCACTGATGGATCCACAAACACCTACTTCTTGGCCATCACCTACAACGGCTTTCCCATCTGGAAAGCCGGTGGTGATCCTGGTGGCGTCACCGACTCCACCGCCACCCTCCGCTTCCTACCCAGCGGCAACCTCCAGCTCCTCAACGGCTCCACGAACGCCCTCGTCTGGCAGTCAAACACCGCTGGCCTCGGCGTCTCCGCCGCCTCCCTCAATGACTCAGGTAACTTCGACCTCAAAAACGACACCGTTTCTGTTTGGTCCACATTCAACAATCCCACTGATACAATCCTCCCAGGCCAAAACTTCACTACAAACAACATTTTGCGATCTGGGTTGTACTCATTTCGGCTTCTTAGATCAGGAAATTTAACTCTTACATGGAATGATTCTATTGTTTATTACAATTCTGGGCTGAATTCATCTATGAATATAAACTTAACTTCACCAAGTTTAGGCCTTCAGCCAATTGGCATATTTTCTCTGTTTGATCCTTCTCTTCCGGGCCCGGTAATTATAGCTTATAGTAGTGATTATGTTGAGGGGACTGATATACTGAGGTTTGTGAAGTTGGATGGTGATGGAAATTTGAGGATTTATAGCTCTGCTAGGGGTAGTAGAACCGAGATTGTGAGATGGGCTGCTGTTAGTGATCAGTGTGAAGTATTTGGTTATTGTGGGGATTTGGGTATATGTAGTTACAACGATACGAATCCGGTTTGTGGGTGTCCTTCGGAGAATTTTGAACTGGTTGATCCGAAGGATAGTAGGAAGGGATGTAAGAGGAAAGTAGAGATTGAGGATTGTCCTGGGAGTGCAACAATGTTGCAATTGGATCATGCTATGTTCTTGACTTACCCTCCAGAGATAACCTCACAAGTTTTCTTTGTGGGTATTTCGGCATGTAGGTTGAATTGTCTTGTGAGTGGTTCTTGTATTGCTTCCACTTCATTAGCAGATGGGACGGGGTTGTGCTACTTAAAAGTGCCAGCTTTTGTTAGTGGCTATCAGTCTCCTTCGCTTCCTAGTACTTCATATCTTAAAGTTTGTGGTCCTGTGATACCAAATCCATCTACTTCTTTGGTGGGTATTGATAAGGACAATGGTTGGAGGTTGCATGCTGGGATTGTTGCTGTAGTGGTTGTGGGTAGTCTCTTGGGTTTGATTGTGTTGGAGGGTGGTTTATGGTTTTGGTGCTGCAGAAATAGCCCCAAATTTGGTGGATTGTCAGCTCAATACGCACTGCTTGAGTATGCCTCTGGTGCACCTGTTCAGTTCTCCTATCAGGAGCTCCAAAAAGCGACGAAGGGGTTTAAGGATAAGCTTGGAGAGGGAGGGTTTGGGGCTGTTTACAGAGGGGTTCTTGCTAATAAAACTGTTGCAGCAGTGAAGCAACTAGAGGGCATCGAGCAGGGGGAAAAACAGTTTAGGATGGAAGTCGCAACTATAAGTAGCACCCACCATTTGAATTTGGTGAGATTGATTGGGTTTTGTTCTGAAGGGCGTCACAGACTTCTGGTGTACGAGTTTATGAAAAATGGTTCTCTTGATAACTTCCTATTCACAACTGAAGAACAATCAGGTAAATTGCTGAATTGGGAATACCGATTCAACATTGCTCTGGGGACTGCGAGGGGGATCACATATCTTCACGAGGAGTGTCGAGACTGTATTGTGCACTGTGATATAAAGCCAGAGAACATTCTTTTGGATGAAAATTACAATGCCAAGGTCTCTGATTTTGGCCTTGCAAAACTAATCAACTCAAAGGACCATAGATACCGAACACTAACAAGTGTGAGGGGAACTAGAGGATACTTAGCACCAGAATGGCTCGCTAATCTTCCAATAACTTCCAAATCTGATGTGTACAGTTACGGATGGTGTTGTTGGAGATTGTGAGTGGCAAAAGAAACTTTGAAGTCTCCGAAGAAACAAATCGGAAAAAGTTCTCGGTGTGGGCTTATGAGGAATTCGAGAAGGGTAATGTTGAGGCAATTGTGGATAAAAGACTTACTAGCCAGGAGGTGGATATGGACCAAGTGTTGAGGGTGATTCAAGTAAGTTTTTGGTGCATCCACGAGCAGCCTTCTCAAAGGCCTATGATGGGAAAAGTCGTGCAAATGTTAGAAGGGATTACTGAAATTGATAAGCCGCCAGGCCCAAAGGCCTTTACAGAAGGATCAGTTGGTGGGACTAGTGTAAACGCCAGCAGTGTCAGTGCTCTGTCCACCTTTGCAGCTTCAGCCCTTGCTCCCTCCTCTTCATCTTCTTTCCAAGCTGCCGGTGTTTCATCTATTGCTTCAGGAAAGAATTTGGAAAGGGCATCTTCGTCGCTTTTACAGTCGGAGTCAAATTGAATCTGGCTTGCAGATTTTCAATTGCCCATGGCGACTGCTTTTGGAGGTTTTTTGTTGAAACCACATCTGAAGGGACACTAAGGCAGGCTGGTAACCTTTCTGCATTCATAAACTACACTTGATTTTGATAGTTTATCTTGTCATTCTTGACTTCACCGGGTAGTATATTATTGTACATAGAGTGCCCTATAATGAGCAAAAAATAAAATAAAATAGAGGGCCCTGTCATCATAATTTCACTCTGTGTGTGTGAGTCTGTTCATAAGGATTGCAACCAAGGTTGCTCGCATTTTAAGGTTGTTCGTATTTAGGTAGATACTCATA